GTTGATATTGACGTTTCTTTCAAGTACTGGTTCGAAATATAATATAAACGTAGAGTTGATATATAAAATACGACTCAAACGATTCTAGGATTATAGTTTGTCATATTCTAATCAACGGCTTAACTACCAACTCAGACACACATCAATTTTTTAATGAAAAATTATGAGTTTGGAACATATGAATAGTCCGGTGCCTATTTTGTAACTTTTAACGGTCATGAGACTCAAAAAAATAACATCTTATAATTAAAGAATTACTATATAACTTTTAATAGTGTTGAGACTCAATAAAATAATGTTGTGTAGATGAGTATATAATTTATATACTTTACCCTTTAAAAAATAAAGTGATTTCAAAAGTAGCATGCAAATTAATTTGGTTTTTGTTTATGCCGTTCTTTGTCTGGCATGCACGGCTTCCACCAAACTTATTATATACAGCCTTGTTTGAATAAGGCGAGAAAATTATAAAATACGCAACTCCTGAACTTCAACGTTGTTCTGGTCAACAGCGAGGGCTGAAAAATACACTTTTTATTTTATAAAAAGGTTAAATTACCTAATGAGTGTATTTACTATTTACTGCCTAACAAATTGATCTCTCTGCTATACAAATTTGCAATTTAGATTTTATATTTAATTTTGAAGCAATCAACCAAAGATTCAAAACGATTGCAACCTTAAACAGAAGACTTACTGTGTTTAAAAAAATAAATGGAAAACATACAAGAAGTTTTAAAAATATGATATGTTCATTTTTCTTACATTACTCTAATTAGAACGGATAAACATGTTTAACATTCAATTTTATCTTTACTTATAATGTTATCCATTTCTTTTAAAATGATAATTTTTGTGAAGAAGTAAAGTACAATTATAGTCAATGCATCTTATTATTGTAATTAGAATTAACGATGAGCTGTTATAAAATGTACTTATATCACGAGGAAATGTTAAAAGATGAGATTCTCCTTACTTTATTCTCATTAATTCTCATTTCTCATTTTATACTTTCATCTATTTCACACACAAAAAAAAATCGACTAACAGTCATTATTTCATCAATAGTGAATCTTTACCTAAGTAAAAGAAAATAAGTTGTTAACAATTGATAAAATTAAATTATTCTCATAAAAAATCACTAAATTTATTTTTTGGAGTAATTTTATTTCACAAACAATATATAAATTAATCTGTTTGAAGTCAACCAATTGAAAGCTTTCTCAACTTTGGCAGTCTAACTTGCACCTGTTGAAATTATGTCCAATGTTCATCCTATACTTTGGCAGAACAACTTTGACTGAAATTAGTAGAAAAATATTTTAATACACGTCATGCTTTTTACTCTCAGTTAGCGGATTAAGAACCGCTTACAACTTAATAGTTTTGGAGAAAAATGTTATATATAATCATATAAATGATTCATATAATATGGACTGCTCAATTTTTTTATCTGTTAGAAACCATTAGTTTTATTAAAAAATATTTAGAATTATGATTAAGGTTTACAACTATAAATCTAAATTAAACATATAATTAAAATATTTTCTTATAAATATTAACATAAAGATTAGTTACTTAAGATCACACATAATAATACAAGAAAAAAGTTAAAAATCTAACTAAATCAAATTCAAAGGCCCAAAATTGAGAATATCGACATGATAACAAATAAGCGTAATATTGACCAGTTGTAGTAATATCAAATCTAATTATGAGAATAAAGATAAACGAAAACAATATCCAAACGACCAAAAACTTATCAAAAGGTAGAAGAAAATGTGTCATAAATTTAAAATTATTAAAATCTAAAAAAGAAAAAAAAAATTACCGACAACCTAATGTTACTATCCATTAGAAAACCTAAGATGGATCTTATCTAAATTATTTTATTAGGTATGAATTTTGTCTATAATTAATATTTATTTATATATAAAATATTTAAAGCGTAGTTTATTCTCTCTTGATTTTCTTGGGACAATAAGGTTATAGCAGCCTTAAAATCAGACAAAAAGAATGGGAATGAAAGTAATAATTGTCTGCTATGGCTTTGGTGAGAGGAGAAAATCATCAAATTTAATTTTTATAATAGACTGAATGTTTTCCAACTTATACAAAACTATTGAAAATTATTTACACTATATATTATACTCAATCAGCCGGCACCTATGAAAATGCTATTAATTATTTGTATGCTTGCTTGACATTTTTTTAAAATATTTGTTAATGTTATTTGACCATTTAGAATCTACATGCCAACACTTTTGAACTGTGACCTATATTTTAGGGTAAACTATATTAGTGATCGCCAAACTTTTTAAAGATATTTTCACTTTGGTCATGATCATCAATAAAACTTTAGTGATCAAAGTGAAAATACCCTAAAACTTTGTAAAGTTATTCAATTCTAGTGATCAAAGTGAAAATACCCTAAAACTTCAGTGACCTATTAGTGTAGTTTACCCTATAATCTATTACCATGCAAGTGGATATAGTCAACATCTGACTGCGAATAAATTCAACCATAGTCCAAGTGCTTCACTTATCTATTCAAACTCCAAAACATTTTAAATTGTTACCTTTAGTTTACTCTTGACATTTTGGATTTATTGAACGAAAAAAATATTTAAAGTTATTATAAAATTGTTTGTATGAAATGCCCGTCCAGCTCAGTTGGTAGAACACAAGACTCTTAACCTTGTGGTCGTGGGATCGAGTCTCACGGAGGGCATTTCATAATTCAGAGGTCTCCACGGAAGTTGTTCTCAACCTGATGTTGGGCAGCCTACTATCATACCTTCCCCTTACCCCATTATATATGGGAAAAAAGGGTCATCTAATTTTTATAAAATTATTTGTATAATTCTTTTACATACACAACCAACTATTTACAATTTTTTAAATATATAAAAAGTTACATTTTTTATTCATTAAAAATATTGAATAAGGGATTTATGGAGCTTTAGCTTTGATATTTGATGTCACCTTAACAACAATTATACTGCTCATATATAACTATGTTTTTTTGGCAAATTATATGTAGATATGTTATTGTTGGCAAAATGCAACTCTATTTTTTACTATTAAAATAATAGTAAATTATATTATCAGTCATTAAAATTTAGTCTTTGTGATATTATCATTAAATTTTTTTAATTTTACCACTAAACTGTTAACATGAGTTTTTATTATCGTACCGTTGAATCATAAACAATGGTATGATGTGATAATTTTATTTTAGCTTGAAAATAAAAATAATAATCATATTTTTCACCCATTTTCGGCTACTACCGAAAAATTGCTATTATTCAATATCTTTTACAATCACCTTAAACACCGATGAATTCATCTCATTATCCTTTATCATCTTATCGGTTTAATTTTTTTTCAAAACTTCTTTAAAACTCGCGGAATTAAATACAAGAAAATTACCATTTTAGAGGTTTGGAGCTTTCTTAGATTTAAGAGGTTTGTTAAAAAAATACAAACAATGAGAAGCATTCTTTCAAAAAATACGAATAACATACTTCAATTAATCTTATCGGATGACACTTAAAGGAGATCAAAGAATTAGAATATCGAACCTTTTAGATGAAATTTTGTCAATTTTGAGAAAAATTCATGAAAAAATCAATACGAGGAGAAAGAAGAAGTGATATCTGAATATTTTTATATGGATCTTGTCACATGACAATCGATGACTGGTGGAGATTGATCAACAATGATTAGGGGAGGATGCACTTGCTCCTTTAGGAGGTCAAGTGCATACCCATTTTAGATAAATTATTAAATATAATTCAACATATTAAGGGGGAAAAAATAAAAAAATTGCATACCTATTTTGTTAAAGGAAAGAGTATTAAAAATTTTAATCTTATTTTTCAGTTTTTTAGATCCACCGTTGACAATGATAACTTTAGGAGTTTATGGCTTTTTGTAAAAGAAAAGGAAAGAAGCGACCATGTATAATGTCGTTGATGATTTAACGACACACTGATAAAAAAAATCAATGCTGAAAGTTTAATGATAAAATTAAATTTCTTTAAAATAAAATTAATATATAAACTAAAATTTAGTAACTGACAATATAAATTACCCTTAAAATAATTACACGGAAACAACGTTGGTAAAGTCTGTAGTTTCATTTGAATATTATCTTTATCTAAAATTTCAAGTCAAGCCAACCTCTGTTCAGTATAACTCACCTAACCCCTGATCAGATCTCCCATCCCTTGTGAGCTGTGATTTTTTTTACCGAGGACAAAATTATTTTATAAAATATATATTTTTAGAACATTAATATATAAATAATTATTAATACAGCATTAAATATTTTTATATATAAATCTATTAATATATTTTCAAATGATTCTATTTAAAGATTTTTGTTATATAGAAGTATGAAAAGATAAAAACATAAAGTTATAATTATTTTTAATTAAATTAATTGATTTACATTATTAATTCAATAAAAAAGAATATAATTTAAATATCAAATTCAAATATATTTAAATTTAAATATTCAAATGACTATTTAACATCTATCATATTAATATTAACTCTTGGATAGCTATTATTTGGATATATTTTGTCTTCGTATAAAATGCAATTAGATCTGATTATCTATTATTTGAATATTTTACAAAATGATATATTCATTATCCTTTTATAATTTTAATTTTATATAATTTATTAGATATATACAGTAACAAAATTAAATATTCAAAAAATAATTTATTTTGTTAAAATAAAATGTTTAAAATTTAAATATGACATTACCTATTATTAAAAGAATTTAAATATATGAATTTAATAATATAATAAATGAATTCGAATAATCAGATTTGTAAATTCACATATTACAAAATTACATATATTTAATTGTCATGTTTGATCTGAATCTAATATTTTTTCCTCAAAAAAGTAATTACTGAATAAGAGAATAAAAATTAAATTATAAATGTGAAAATATTAGTAAAAAAAATCAAGGGGTTAGCCAGTGAGCTACTACCAAACGCCACGTGACCATCTCTCTTCAGTTGTCCATCCGGTCTGGTGAATTTCCTCTAGTTACTCCCAATCCCTCCATTTTCCCTCTCCTTTCTATATAAATCCCGGCGCTACCTCTTTCCTTCCTCATTCCCAGGCCTTGCTTTATTGTCTACTCTCCCTCTAATCGTGTATTTCAACGTTTACGAGGCGAGTGAGAAGTGATCTTTTCGTTTCCTTCCTACTTTCTCTTCAGGTAAAGATTCACAAGCCTTTTTCTCTCAGATCTGTTTTCTTTTTCTTAATTCCAATTTCTGTCGCTTTTCGAATGCTTTCATATTTTTTTCTTTCTATAGAAAAATTCGATGCTTTCAAGGAAAATTTAAGATACTTTAATTTGTAAATTTCTGCTGAAAACTCAACTATATGAACTCATGAAGCTCCAGAGCTAGAGATCTCGTGTTTCTTTTATCATACTAGTGTTGTAACTGCATTTCCGTGATTTGATTCGATTTGCTCATCTTCTTTTTGTTGAGATCTGATTCGGTTTAGGTTCGAGTTAGATGTAGCATTGGATCCGGCTCTTTTTTTTTTCTTATTGCTAATTATTTGCCTAAACAACGCAGCTTGAGTTAATTGGTTATTGGCTTGTTTGTTTAACAGTTCTCTTTGTGCCGAAGCCATGGCCACTGGACAGTGGTTTTCTCGAACTACACAAGCTTTATTCTATAACTACAAACAACTTCCTGTTCAGCGCATGCTTGATTTCGATTTCCTTTGCGGTAGGATCCCTGGCTGGTCTGGTGTTAGCTGATCGGCATTCTTCGTTATTTTTTTTCAATGGAATTGTTCAAATTATGTTGTTTTTTCTCTCTTTTTTTTCCTCTGGATATTAATTTTGAATTTGTAGGGAGGGAAACACCATCTGTTGCTGGTATCATTAATCCCGGTGCCGAAGGATTCCAGAAACTCTTCTTTGGTCAAGAGGAAATCGCGATCCCAGTACATTCAACGTAAGAAACTCCTATATCCTGTTTCTACTTCGAGATCAACTTTGTATATGTAAATATTTATGTTGAAAGTGTTATAGGTTAAAAATGAACTATATATCATGTTACCTTATGAACTAAAATTATGCACACTGGCCTGCAAAGTTTAACGTGCTTATGTGATCACCACCTGTAACATTCGATTATGAATGAGGAATCCAGCCATGATTCATTTATTTAACATAATTCAGTATTTCAGTTAAACAGACACATAGCCAGCATAAAATCTGCTCGTGAAGCCTTTAAATTCCACCATTATAGGATGATAGATGACCCATTACTATATATATTTGCTTTTCTGGAAAATTCAATCCATTTACTATTGAGAGATCAAAAAATAATTGATCGATGATGCTATAGCTTCGTCTAGTTTTGAGTATAGGGAATTGACATTGGCAATTGTGTTAGTTGTATGTCCTACAGTCATTTTTATTGCGATTATAAGTTGTAAACAGGTTATTGATTCTAATAAATAACTAATTGTGTCTTGAGAAAGGACATTGGACAAATATCATCATCTGATTTTACATCCTCACCGATCTAAGATAATGCTATGCGGCTTACATTGTTTTTTGATTGATGAACTTGTATTTTCCTAGTTCTATTTTCTCTAACCTCTTAATTGATATATTTTGTAGCATTGAGGCAGCGTGCGCTGCACATCCAACTGCCGATGTTTTTATCAACTTTGCATCATTTCGAAGGTTAGCCCTCATTTCTTTAATGCAAGAATTTTGAAAGAAAGAATCCTTGTGTGCATAACTTAATCTTTTGTTCGCATTTTGTCACAGTGCTGCTGCTTCTTCAATGTCTGCTCTGAAACAACCAACAATTCGGGTTGTTGCTATAATTGCTGAAGGTGTTCCTGAATCAGACACCAAACAGTTGATTGCATATGCACGTTCCAACAACAAGGTAAGCAAGATGATGAGAATGGAACCTAGGCAACGAAAATGATTAACCAATATATACATGTGTTTCCTTATTATCTTGCACTTGCAAAGATCTTATTAAATGATTTTAACTATATGCTCTTGTTTGACTCTTTATTTGATTTTGGTACTTACGGACTTGCAGGTTGTTATTGGCCCTGCTACCGTTGGAGGAATTCAAGCTGGAGCTTTTAAGATAGGTGACACTGCTGGAACAATTGACAATATTGTTCAGTGCAAGCTGTATAGGCCTGGATCTGTTGGATTTGTCTCCAAATCGGTAGGTTATTTTGATAGTTATTCTTATGTGTGTGCACATTTATCTGGAGCAATTATGCCTCTTTCCCTTCTGCTTAAGCACTTGCACCTTCACACTTCGTGGAACAATTTCCTATCACTAATTTGGCACTTAGTGTCATTGCTTTGGCTGGAATGTGAACCTATACTCATGGCATTAGTTTTAACTTGTATCTTTGTAAAATCATTGCAGGGTGGCATGTCGAATGAAATGTACAACACTATTGCCCGTGTTACAGATGGAATTTATGAAGGTAACTATAAGCTAATTTAACTTTTAGTATTATATTTGTACCATCCAAACACATTTCAATTCATAATGAAATTTTGGGTACATACTGAAAATAATGTAGGCATTGCAATTGGAGGAGATGTCTTCCCAGGCTCCACTTTGTCTGACCATATTTTGAGATTTAACAATATTCCACAGGTATATTCTAGTTTCATTCAATTTGTTTTGATTTCATGCGTATTATTCCTTGATATAGGCAAAGCATTCATGCTTAGGAAAGCAAACAACTTGCACGCCCAACTCCCATTTTCTTAGTTTTTTATTGTTTAAAATTCATAGTTTATGTTGAAGCATCTTTGGCATTGCAAAAAAAAAAAATTCCTTACATATCTTTTTCATCCACAGATAAAGATGATGGTTGTCCTTGGGGAACTTGGTGGACGAGATGAATATTCCTTAGTTGAAGCCTTGAAACAGGGAAAAGTGAACAAGCCGGTGGTTGCTTGGGTCAGTGGAACTTGTGCACGACTCTTCAAATCAGAAGTACAGTTTGGACATGCTGTAAGTTATCACTTTAATTTCCCTGAAATTCATTATTCCTTCCTTTGTGTTCAAGCTTTGGTGTTACTTCCATTAATGAGACGTTACCTTATTAATAATTTAGGGAGCTAAGAGTGGCGGTGAGATGGAATCTGCACAGGCAAAGAATCAAGCACTAAAGGACGCTGGAGCTGTTGTTCCCACTTCCTATGAAGCTTTTGAAGCCGCGATCAAGGAAACATTTGAGAAACTGGTGAGTTTCTGTTTTGGTGGCCAAAGATTGAACATTTCTACGCTTTTAGCTATATTAATGTATTTACTTGGTTACTTTAGGTTGAAGAAGGGAAGATTACACCCATCAAGGAAGTTAAGCCTCTACAAATACCCGAAGATCTTAACAGTGCAATTAAGAGCGGGAAAGTTCGTGCTCCAACTCACATTATTTCAACCATCTCTGATGACAGGGGTAACTTATCTTAATCCATATATGTTATCCAATTGAATGAAGCAGTTGATGATATGGAGACAGGAGTGTTAAATTCTTTATTTGAACCCAATTTGCAGGTGAGGAACCATGCTATGCTGGTGTGCCCATGTCTTCCATTGTGGAGCAAGGTTTTGGTGTTGGTGATGTCATTTCTCTCTTGTGGTTCAAACGTAGCCTCCCCAGATACTGTACTAAATTTATTGAGGTAGGACACTGAAAATTTTGAGAAGCTTCTTATGAGTTATAATCCCCTGCTCTACAGCCACCCATATCTCTCATACTTTTTCACAATTGTTCCGTTACCCCTCCTATGATAGTTAAATCGGCTTAATCCTTTTTATTTTTACTCTCCATCTCTGGAAGGTTCACTTGTTGTGTTTTAACTATATGTTTGATCTGGCCAGATATGCATCATGCTCTGTGCCGACCATGGTCCTTGTGTCTCTGGTGCGCACAATACTATAGTGACCGCAAGAGCTGGGAAGGACCTTGTATCAAGTCTTGTTTCAGGTTTGCTTACTATTGGTCCTCGATTTGGTGGTGCTATTGATGATGCTGCGCGATACTTTAAAGATGCTTACGACAGGGTAAGTAGCAATATTGTTACTTGGAAAAAAAATTGAATTGCTTGGTGTCTGATGACTTTTCTAATACATTCTAAGAAGTTGCCGCTTTGCTGTGCCTTTACAGGGTCTTACACCTTATGAGTTTGTCGAAGACATGAAAAAGAAGGGCATCCGTGTGCCAGGAATTGGTCACAGGTACAGATGGTTTTTAATGGTCATAATGTTTTTAAACCATGCAAAAGCTACTAATCACGAGACCTGTTTTTTTATAGTTTCCTAAAGAATCCTATTAGACGTCTAACGGTTAAAAATGCTTGCTTTCGTTACTTGAAAAGGATCAAGAGAGGGGACAACAGAGACAAGAGAGTAGAGCTTCTCCAACTGTTTGCTCGCACAAATTTCCCGTCTGTGAAGTACATGGAGTATGCTGTTCAAGTTGAAACCTACACTCTCTCGAAGGCTAACAACCTTGTCCTTAACGTCGATGGTGCCATTGGGTCACTTTTCTTGGATCTTCTTGCTGGTAGCGGAATGTTCACCAAGCAAGAGATTGACGAAATCGTTGAGATTGGCTACCTAAATGGTCTCTTTGTTCTGGCACGATCCATTGGTTTGATTGGGTAAGTTGACATACAACTTTGGAATTTTCATATTTTAATATTCAAGGTTTTGTTTGAAATCGCTCATCCTCGTACACCCAAACCATTGGATGATGATACTTGCGGTTGGATAACAAAATTATATGCTGGAAAAGAATGTTCCATTCTGCAGTTCCTTGTTCCTGACACTTAAATTGTTCGACGTCTCAGGCACACTTTTGATCAGAAGAGACTGAAGCAGCCGCTATACCGTCACCCATGGGAGGATGTCCTTTACACCAAGTGAGAAGAGTATCATTAACAGCAGGTGCAATTTCCTGAAGCATTCTCGATTTCAGAGTCCTTGTTTGTGTCTGGCATTTCGATGGGGTATGGTTGGTTGGTTCTTAGGTTATTTGTTTGTAAGGCTGAATGGTAGATCACTCATCATTTCCAAGTTGTAGTCAAAGTTAACAAAGGAGAGAAAAAAGTCTCAAAATGTAGCGTGATTCGTTTTTATTTTTACCGGTTTCATGTGGAAATAAGAGATGTGCAAAAAAAAAGTACATTGTATTGTAATATTTTATGAGAATATTCAAATTATTAGTACTTCATTCTGAAATTATTTTACTCACAGTTCATTTTTTTCCTCTTAAATTATTCCTCTTATTGATTGCTCAATTTTCTGGTGGGGATCAGGATCTGTGGTGTCATTTGGCGTAGGCGAAGGATTGAGAATTAGTAATGATGATGTTTTAGATGGTTAATGCAAGGGTTTTCTTTTATCTAAATATATCATTTTTATAATTAAAATAACATTCTTCTTTAAATATTTATCTAAACTGTATCTTTTAGTTGAAATTTATAAAATATGTGAATGATTACACATGTTTTTTTAACATACGTGATACCCAAAATCAGAAAAAATGCGAGTAACTAAATGTGTTTTCGCACACATAACATGTTCCTGGAAAAACTCAATTGATGAAGTGTGCAATTCTTGCGTTTTGAGCAATTTATGAAGAAAAAAAAATTGACATTGACAAGGATAATAATGAAAAAAATAATAATGGGGCAAAACAAAATAAATTTTCTTTGAAAAGAAAAAATTACGACTAATATTTGTCAAAGATATGATAATATTCAAACGACTATGATAATATATGTATATAAATTTTATCTTCAATCAATTAATATTTTTATGTCAATCAGTTAATAATTATATTATAGTTTAGATATCTAATAACAATTCTTGCATCGGTAAATTCATATAATAAAGACTAAACATTAAGTATTATTTTGAAATAAAATAAAGTTTGACTATCAAAACATAATAAAAATAATAATTTTAGTATTAAACATATAGTTTACCCAACTTTAAATTCATAATAAGGAGAAGAAAATGTGTTTAATTAATTAATTTATATTTTAATCTATTCGTACATTTATGAGACGGGAATATGAACAGAAGGTGAAGCAAAGGACGAAAAGAGAACTACACAAAAAGAAGCTATCCACCAATCCCAATGTCATATGCACCACGGATTGGAAAACATAAACTCCAAAATAGGAAGTGGTTTAATGTCGGGGTTAGTTGGTCGATTTAGGGTTTTTGTTTCCATATAGGTACATAAATTATAAATGTATTTTGATCAAGTCCCTTCAAAATTGGAAAAATTGTTTTAAAATCCCTTCAAAAATAATAAAATTGTAAGCTAATATAAAGTTGAGATTGCATTTTGGTCTCTCTAAAATTTTAGAGTTCAATTCTAATCCTTTTTTTTTAAAAAATTATAGTTTTGCTTTAATTTTGATTTATCCATGAACATAACTATGTCAATTGGTGGGAAGGACCACCTACCTCAACTTTCATGGTTTAATTATTTTTCAGGCCTTTTAGGTTTGAAACCTTTGAAATTAAAGTCACGTTCCCCAACTTTTTTTGATTTGATTGTTCCCCAAAACCCTATTTGTTTTGAAACATTTGAAATTATGCCTCTGTCTTTACGACACATTTTACTCTGCCTTTATCGCACGTATTCTTCTGCTTTGGACTCTCAGTTGGATTTGGATATGCGATTTGCGTTTGTGGATATTATTTTCACGCTACTCGATTCTGATTTGTGGTTTGTCGGTGGCCTTTCAATAATTTCATCTCCTTTTGTGGTTTGTTTGTCTATGCGGTCAGATCTCGCCGTTAATTTACCTTTTGTTCTAGTTTATTTGATTAGTTTTTTTTTAACTTTTTATTGTATGATCCTTGGATGATCTTCAGTAACTAGTCTTTTAGTGTTTAGGAAAATATCTTAATTACATGTTTAGTTTACGGTTGTAGTTGTAAACATTTATTATAATTTAAATATTTTTTTTAATAAAATTAAATACTTCTATAAAAAAATATGTATCATAATATAAAATTTATGTATCATAATGTTAAATTTTCAAAGAAGCGAGTGCCTAATTCGCTCCCCGTCAATCCATTCCTTGTCCATGATACTCACTAGCAAAAACTGAAGACAAGGTTTAATTTTTATCTATGACATTTTCTACGATACGTATAACAAATAAAATATCAATTACATCAATCTTTAAAAGTAAAAATTAAAGTATTGGTGGGTGAAAAATCATGTCTATAAATAAAAAGGAAAAGGAAAAATTTAAAAAAGGGATAAAATACATAAATGGTCCTCTGACTATAACATATTACTTTGTTGAATTTCATAATTATTAAAAGTTACAAAATAGTTTTCTGATTATAGAGAGTTGCTTTGTTGAGTCCATCGACTATTAAAAGTTACAAAATGGTCATCCAACTATTCATTATGTTCCAGAGCCATCTTTTTATGTTAAAAAAATTAATGGTCGTCTGAGTTAGATGTTAACATATTGACTGAGATATGATAGTTATTTGAGATTATGAGATCATATTTTATATATCTCATTCACCAGGTTAACATCTAGGTCAGATTACCATTAATTTTTTAACGAAAAAGGACTACTTTAGAACATAATGAATAATTAGGTGACTATTTTGTAATTTTTAAAAGTTAAGGAACTCAACAAAATATTTTCATTTAATTAGAAAAATATTTTATAGATTTTAATAGTCATGAGACTCAATAAAATAATATTATATAATCATACCAAGATTTATGTACTTTACCTGAAAAATTATTTATTATTAGACTACAATGCAAAAAATGTCTTCCAGACTCGCGTTTTAAATTAATATTAAATTAAAATAATGTGTAGACTATCAAAGGGCTTTAACTTAATTCCCTTCTTTAACACATATGCATTAATAAGTAGTTTTTTTCCCCCAAAACATGTGCAATATAAGCTCATGTTTACCACTAAAGTTTGACGGTTAGACTGATTTTAAAGATGAAATTAAAACATGTTAAAATTTAGGGTAAATTATATGTTTAATACCCCAATTATACTTTGGTTATGTTTTAATCGCTCAATTATTTCTTTTTCAAAATTATCACAAATGTTATATTTTAGTTTCATTTTGATAATTCACCGTTAAAATTTAACAGAATTGTTGAAATGACATTTTTAAAAAAAAATTCAATAATGACATGACATATTCGTATAGTGACACGTGAGCATCACCTACACCAACGATGGGTGGCCAAAATAAAACCAAGATGTATCGTTAGTGATAATTTTGAAAAAAAGATAATTAGATGACTAAAACTAAACGAAGTGATAATTAGGTGACTAAATATGTAATTTACAAAAAAATATGATATCAAAGTGATGAAAGAGTTGAAGACAATCCCAGTAGGAAAAAGGCTTAAATGCAACAAGGCCCCTTAAACTATACCATTTATACCGAATTATCTTTTAAAGTATTTTTTGGGACGTTTTGTCTCATAGAGTTTAAATCGTTACCTCATTTGTCCCAAATCGTTAACTCCATTAAAAAATATACTGGTAAATTATATATTTAGTCACTTAACTATTTATGCAGTTCTGTTTGAGTTATCCAACTATTTTTTCCTTTAAAATCATCACTAAACTTAAGTTTTTATTACGTTTTGGTCACCCAATTTGATTCATTTTTTTATTTTTAATGTATAAGAATTCATTTATATTTTTTTACTTCACATATAAATTTAATTTGTAATAATAAATAATATTATACAATGAATAATAAATAATATACTAACCTATATGTAACGTAAATAATATAATACGTAAATAATAAATAATAAAATTGACAACAACAAAAAAAAGTTGAAATCAAACCAAAATTTAAGTAGAAAATAGCTATTAAAATTGCATCTGAATTCCAAAGAAATCCACAAAAAAAAAAAAAAGCTGGAATCAGAGCTTTTGCAAGTGATTTCCTATAGCAAGATCTATGTTTTCAAACAATTAAAATAAAAAGGGAAAATATTTGAAAAAGGAAACAACTAAACCAGTAAAAATAAAAATACTCTAGAGAAGAAAGTTTTCTTAAGAAAAACTTAAAAACACCGATCGATGGCTACGTAGACAATGCAAACGACATTGAAGGTCGGTGAAATTTGAGGAAGAAATGATGAGAAAGAAATAAGATAAAAAATTAGAGATTAGAAATTTTATAGGTTTTCCTAATAGGACATTCAAAACGATGAGTTTAATTTCGTTTGGTTTCATAAAAACACTGAAAAATATGTTAATTTAAATTTTTAAAATATAATTGATATATTTTTAATTTCAAAATCAAATATCGTAACTTTAAAAAAATAATTTTTATATTTATACTCGTAGCTTGTTAATAGGTTTGTTATTGATGTATGTGAGATCAACAAACAAATAACTTGGGGTGGGATTAGGGTGATCAATGTTTTGTGTACGTTGTGAAATTCTATTTTATCATTTTTAATTAAATAATTAATATTTATTTTTAATAAAATGTTAATTACATACAATTTAATAAATTGTTTATTATTTATTTTATAATATTACTTATTATTGTAAATTAAATTTATGTGTTCAATAAAAAAATATAAATAGATTCTTATACATTAAATTTTTAAAAATAAATGGAATCGAATTAGGTGACCAAAACTTAACAAAAATTTAAATTTAGTGATGATTTTAAAGAAAAAATAATTAAATAACTTAAACAGAGCATTATAAATAATTAGTGACTAAATATATAATTTTTCTATATATTTTTTAACATAGTTAACAGTTTGAAGTAGATAATATAATAATTTAAACTTTAAAAATCAAAATATTCCAAAAATATATTTTAAAAAATAATTCGATACAATAATATAGTTTAAGATATGATGGTCCGTTTAAACCCACGAAAAAACACAGATAGTACATCACAAAATGATATCGGAATCTTCTTGCCTACGAGGGTCTGTCAAAGTGTCAACCTTTCCCCCCAAACCTATCCCCATAATCACTCAGCACTGATTTTCCTCCAAAAAAGACGATCACTTTAACTCTACAACACACAGCCATGGCGTCAGGTAGCAGAACAGTTCATTCCCATAATCGACAACAGCAGCAACAGGCTCAGTCTTCAGGCACCAGTAACATGAGAGCTCCCCAT